AAGTGGACGTCCATGACATGCGGAGTCCCACAAGGCTCAATTCTTGCACCGCTCTTGTTTAGCTTGTATATGCTCCCACTAAGTCAAATAATGAGAAAGAACCAAATTGCCTATCAAAGCTATGCTGATGAAACCGAGATTTACCTAGCCTTATATCCAAATGACTACAGCCCCATTGCACACAAAACAAGGGGAGTCCGCTTTTAGTTATTATGCCGCCCGCAGTTGGAATCAGCTTCCAGAAGAGATCAGATGTGCTCAAACATTAGTCACATTTAAATGCAGACTCAAAACTCATCTGTTTAGCTGTGCATTTATTGAATGAGCACTGTGCAACGTCCGAACTGATTGCACTATATTTTATGTATAATCATTTTCTATTCTTAACTGTTTTAAATTCATTTTAAACCTCTTAAATCAATTTTTAAATAATTTTCAAAGTTTTTAAATTCCTTGTTTTATTGTTGTGATTATTTTTTTTATTATTATTTTCTTTTCTTTTATGTAAAGCACTTTGAATTACCATTGTGTATGAAATGTGCTATAGAAATAAACTTGCCTTGCCTTGCCTTGTGTATCACTTATTTACAAGTGATACAAGATTTCACACAAATGTCAGAGACTTCAGGCCGAGTTATAACTGGCCTGGCTTTTAAACATAATTTCTTTGGAAACATGTTTCTTTAAAGCTTCCTCTTTTATATGTGGGCTCCATGACAACAGCAACGATACAACAATATCAGATTGTTTGCAGGTGGGCAGCTCGTTTCCATGGATGCACCAAAGGCTGTGTTTGTACTGAGCTTTGTGCTGTGAGGTTTCCGCTGACGTCAGAGTCTCTGGCTCTAATCTGGAATGGTCACCATGGCTGCAGTGTATTTTTTTCCCCCCTTTTTTTCCCCTCCCTCTCTCTGGGAGTAGTTCCAAGTTATTGCTTGCCTTTTCCAGTTGAAACGAGCAGGCGTGTTTCTCTCGCTCTCTTTGACTTGATCTTTTTTGCTTTGTTTTGTGGCATTCTGCTGTCTGGAGACTGACTCTGGGTCAGAGCTATAATTAGGTATTCAAGAGAAAAATTTAAACATGAAAAGTGGGAAGAAAAAAAAAGCTTTAACACTAAAAACGGTTAGGGCTGCAGAACTAGACACAATTTAAACAATGTGGCAGCAACCAAAAAACAACAACATTTAATTGTTCATAATTAAATTATGAATGCATCTCTTCTTTTGTTTGGTTATCATTTAATTGTTCCACATAGATAAAAAAAAAAAAGGAAACTCAGTGTAAAATACAGATTCAGTGTGATTCATGTTGTAACCTGTTCCTTGGAAGTGTTTTCTTGGAAGACAGCGTTCTCCATCACCGTAGAGTTTTATCTTAGACAGACCTTTGAAGAAGCTTTACAAAATAACAGAAATATAGAAGAAACTACAAACAGTGAAGCCATTGACATAAGTAATGCAGTGGAGAGGAATTGCTCAAAGAAGTTATTGTGTGCTAAACGCACATGACAGCACAGTGCTATCCTCTTTTATATGTGTTTTATTTTGACCTGTTTTGTTTGATTTTAATAAGGTCGGATTTGAAGCCCAACCTTTCATGGTGCAAAATTAAATATTAATGCATATTTCAGGTAAGGCTGAAAGGCTGTTTAATTATTCTATGTTTTTAATGAGCTATGTTGATAGAGTCACTATAAATTACATTATGTAATAGTTCTCACACTATACACTGTTTACATGAGAAGCATGACAGATGAATTATCATACATAATACAGGGTATTCAATAAATCTTTGATCTTTGAGAATCACTATGAATCACCTTTTTACTCTTTTTCATCTTTTCTTTTTCACTTTCTACCTTAAACTCTTTGCTTTGCTTTAAGCACTTTTACGGTAAGCAGAAACTGCCCTGCCTGCCTGTTTTGAAAATGAAACAAAGGCCATGAAATATTTTGACCTTTTCTTTGTCTCTTCTGGTTTCATGAATGGCATTCATTGTGGTGCCACACGCGCACATATATGAGCATTCAGCCTTTTCTGTGGAACTAAAATAAATGGAAACATAAGAGGTTTTCTGGTTAGAAATGATTAAACAATCGAAACGAAGACAGAAACGTATTGTGACATTTATCTTCATATATGAAGAACTCTAAGAACGGAAAAAAAAAATGTCTTAGTATTTTGCCTGGTCTTCTAGTATCTAAACATTCTTAAATCGAGATGAGAAGCAAAGTGACAGAGCAAAGTGATTAAAAAAATAAAAATAAAATCTGCCAATGAGGTAAGAAAAAATATTTTAATTCAACGGGAAAGCAAGATTATTTTTCTTGCCCCATTGGCAGAATTCTTGTTTTAAGTAAAAACTAACATCATTCATTCATTCATTCATTCATTCATTCCAGAAAACAAGAGTAACTATCTTTGGTCATTTTGCTTGAGACAAGACAAAAATTCTAAGAAATAAGTCTTAGTTTATATTGTTGCATGTTAAACAACTACATTTAACATTTTGTCTTAAATTCCATGGAATTATGTGAAATATGTGAATATTAGATGTGTTTTGATCAATTAATACATTTAAAAAGTAATACATTTTCACGATTAGTAATCAAAAGCCTTGTAAATACGCAAAACAGTTCAACGGTTGTGAGGTGTGGTCTGCTCATTACGTAAAGGCAACGCATGACTTAGTTCTAATAAAAGAACTGAACGTTCTCATTTCTAATTCTGCCCTGTCTGCACACGTAATTCACTTTAACCACATGTTTCCACGAGAAAGCTAAATAGAATTTGTGGTTATGAGAACATAACTATTATATCACTTCTGTGAAATACCTTCCATCCAAACCAGCTGATGCGGTCGTCTGCCTGAAGTTATAATTAGTTCTCTTATTATAAATAGAAGTATTCTGTCGGACGAGGAAGGAATCTATTGTGCAGCGTCGGGGATTCCTGCGAGCTCTTTATCTCTGCCTCAAACCAAAACAGTAGAACTCTAACGTCAAGTCAAGTCACCTATATTTATATAGTGCTTTTAACAATACGGATTGTGTCAAAGCAACTGTACAGCATTAATTAGTGTGTCAATAATGCAAAGTGACAATAGTAAACACTCAATTTTCAGTTAAAGGCAGTTCTTTAGTTCTAAAGAAGAACTAAATAGAACTAAAACTAAATTAAACTAAATGCTCGCCTGTATGCGAGCATTTGCCCCATTTCACAGAAGCCCTCTTTGAGAAAGATTAGCTTACTTAGTAGGGAATGCAGTAATCTTAAATTCAGTGAAACAAACAAACAAACAATAAAAGCCATGTAAACTCGTTCCAAATCATTTGGCTTGCTGAGGATAGCGATTCTTGAGATTTTAGGCCCAAGTATGGCTAGAAAAAAAAAATCACTGAACAAGGCACCTGAGCTATATACATCAGAAAGACTTGGGGATGGGCTATTTTGACTTGTGACAGTAAGCAATGCCCTAGAGACCTCCCAAAGAAGCCTAGCAACCACTAGAAATTCCCCATAGATATATAAACATAGATGCCTCATTAGCGGATGTTTTTATGGGCCGCTATCATAGACTGTATAAAAACATGGATGTCATGTTTTTTTTCTGCTGTAAAGTTGGGCATTTTAACATGGGGCGTCTATGGGATTGACCCCCTTTTGCAGCCAGCCTCTAGCGGCCAGTTGATGAATTACAGTTTAAGTCACTTCCTTGTTGGCTTCACGAGAGAGAGCAGGAGGTTGCTGCTTGGCCGCTATACGTAAGATGTCAGCCATATTGGAAAGGTCAAAGCAGGTCCGTGAACACTTGAGAGCAAGTTAGCAACCATAGCTATACGTATATATGAATAGAAAACCAGTTGTTTCATGTAGGGCTATGGGACAGGCAACACCACACAACATAACTTGAGTGCATTAGGTGTCCAAGATTCAGTGCTGGGTAGTAACTGATTATATGTAATCTGGATTACGTAATCAGATTCCAGAAATTAAGTACTCATAATTACAGTATATCACATTTTTAAAATGCTCATAATACAGATTACAGTTACTTTTTATAGATTACATGATTACATAGTACACTCTAAAAAATGCTGGGTTAAATACAACCCAGTGCTGGGTAAAATAGGGACAAGCCCAGCAATTGGGTTGTTTTGACCCAGCGGTTGGGTTACTACCCAGAAGGTTGGGTTAAACATTTAACCCAACCACTGGGTCAAAACAGCCCAATTGCTGGGTTTGTCCCTATTTTACCCAGCATTGGGTTTTATTTAACCCAGCATTTTTTAGAGTGTATTCACACAATGGTAGTAAATTCTTATTTTAAACTGGAAAACAGTGTCGATAATGCAAGAGGACAATAGTAAACACTCAATTTTCCAGTTAAAGTCGATTCTTTATTGATTCAGTGATCTCACCGTCCAGCTCAGTTCAGTTCAAATAGCATCTGTGCAATCGAAGAAATCAAAGTAGTTATTTTTCATCATGTAATCTGTAATCAGTAACGGATTACAATTTGTAAGTAATCTACCCAGCACTGCCAATATTACAATTTTGTTTTTTAATTAATTGCATCATTTGGATATTATTTAGTCGTGAAAACACTATTTGTACTACAAAATGGAATTAAATAGTGCTTAAGTAGGCTATTCAAATTTGGACACAGCTATAGTTTTATTATTATGTAACTATATTAATTGAAACATTAAATCGTGTTACCTTGAATATGCATCAAAAAGAAAATCTCACAATTGTATTGTGTCTTTGAGAGCTCAGACTGTTATGTGATTCGGTAACATGTCCTCACATGCTTAGCATCGCCATAAAATGCATATAAGCACAATGGGCATGATGTATATGTAGGTGTGTTTACATCTGCGTCTATTGCACTTGTATGAGTGGGAGTGAGACTTACCCTGCCTGACTCACTCTACAGATCCATTGACTGCGCTGTATCACGGATACACGGCAAACAAGCATTTGTGTTGGATTCTGAGTCTGTTTGTAACAGTGTGCTTTAAATTATACACGTTTGGGGAGTAACCAGTCACTACGTTTAAACACAGAGAGCACTTTCGAAACGTTGATGATAAAGCCTCTCACGAAAGCATCTTCCCTGCATTGAGATTACATCATTTCCCTTTCGTCATACTGGAAAAGTGCAGCCAGCTGCAAATGAGAAGAGTGACAATGAGGTGCTTGTAAGGGGCAGTCCCTTTGAACATGATCGACGTTGTTCATTTTAATACATATTTTCATGACGTAAGCATCGGTTATCTTTAGAGTCCATAAAGGCATCACTTTATTTTCATAGCCACCTGAGATAAGTGTTCTGGGAAGTTATGACATCTGTTGTAAAGTCGGCTTGGAAGTTGATACCAAAAGTAATTCATATGAATATGTAAGTAGTTCTTTATTTCAGGGTAGTTTTTGGTAAATTCCTTAATATTTGACCTCAGCAGTGTCAATGAATCATTATAACGTCAAACTTCCAAATAGCTGTGCTGAAATTATTTTATGCAGCCTATATACTTCCTTCTCTCGCTAGAGGGGCTTTACTTTGTTCGTTTTTTCACTGTAGATCTACAACTTCCTTATATCTCAAGAAAAGAACCCTGCCAAGGCGGCACACGTTAAGCTCAGGAAAGACAAAAGCAAGGTGGCACATGGTATGTGAAAGCAAAAAAAAAAAAAGAATGAGAAAGAGAAGGCCTGAGGTATTTGTGACGGCGCGTTACTATTACAGCTCACTGGGTTGCGCAATTACAAAGAAGTTCTGTGGAATCACGTGATCTCGCTCGGCTACTAGAGAATTTCGCATTTGATTATGGAGTACACTGGAAAAGCTGGCAGCTGGCTTAGAACTGAAATGTGATATTTACCTTATTAGAACTGATGAAAGGAGCTTTTGTGTTTTACCACAGCAATCTAAAATAAAAAAATGACTGCTACAGCTCACACATAGGGTAAAAGATTTGAACACACCCCTAACACTCAACAAAATAAATAAACAAATAAAGCCATACATAAAACAAAGATTAGTACTTTTCCACAAGAAAGTATTTCGGTTAAATTTTCGTTTTTTCGTTTTTTTTTTACTTGCTGTTTCTTTGTGTCTTGGTATGTAAATATATTTCAAATCAAAGGGTCTCTGGGAGGCAGATTTATGATGACTATGACTTGACTAATACAAATGCATATTAGTTTTATAGTTTCATGTTCATTCTTGTTTATCTGGGTCATTTTTTTGTTTTTTTTTAATGCAACATATTATCAACGAGGGTGTAGCAAACACATACTACCAGACCTGAAAGAATTTGCACCTAAACAACAGACTGTCACTGAATTCTGGTAAATGCAGAAAGTTGAGTTGGTTCTGCACATGCGTGCAGCAGCAGCTGGTTGCACGCCTTTGTGTGGCTGCTACGAAACTGTTTCCTGGTTAAGAGTCTCATAGTGTTGTGAGAGAAGCATGTTTTTTCTCGTTTTACTGTAAACATCAGTATAGCAGGAAGAAGAAAAAGGCAAAGGGTTTTTAGTACACAATGTGCCTGTTTGTCAGAAGCACCTAATTTCTCTGTGGGGAAACCGTTTTTCCAGAGCGACCAAAACTCATTTCAAATTTGACATTTTGTTCACTCAATCCATGGGCCTGACCTCAAAGCATTTGCATTTGTGTTTTATTGCCAAGCTCAGTGATATTTCTTGAAGTGTTGAAAGCACATGAAATGTATAGCGTTTCAAACAACACCGGATGATGCGAACATGCACAATAAATACATAAAAAACAAGGAAATGATTCAAAGAGATTAAACGGTCCTCATTTGTTGATATCAACCTCAAATTTGGAACATAACTTGTTTCCGTTAATGGCTTTTATTTTCTCAGAGTAGCACACATTTAAAGTAGAACTGTTTGGAAATATATATTTCATATAAAATATCAAATTTTCACAACAATAAACTCATATACTGCTTTTACATTCACATTTTTATTTTTTTTTTACTTCAGCAATAATCTGCAAAGTGTCTTCTTTAAAAAAGTTAACTAACCTTAGTCTGTGCTTCAAAGCATTCAAGACAGTTTAAGTTCGGAATTTTATTTTCAGGTCTATGCTTCAAAAATGGTTAACAGGTAATAAATAGGTTATAACTACTGCATACATATAATTTAGTACCATAAAATACCCTAAAAAATACAAATTATCAAACTAGTACATTCATTTCATCGAAGTAAACAATAAAAAATATATAATTCTGTCATTTTTGACTGCCATGCGAGAAGCACTAGAGGGCTAAAAAGTAACTTTATCAAGATCTGAACTCAGATATGAATGATTTTTTTTCCCTCATTGTGACAGCATATTGATTCTGGCGATGTGCCAACTGTTCCATGCACATTGCCTTGCTCATATAAATACAATCGCTCTCTATCACACATTCTCAGACAAACCCTCACACACACACACACACACACACACACACACTCCCCAGCTGTGTAAGTACAGTACATTCCAGTTCTGTTAGGTACCCCACAACACAGTGTGACTTTAGAAACCTGATTGGTTTCCCAGAAGACCGAGTTCAAAAGAGTTGCAGCAGTCACACCTCTTCCCCTTTATCACAGTCTCTATCAAGTAAAGCTACACTTGTTTAAAGAGAGAGAGAGAGAGATCAGCTGTTGCTACTCTTACACTACCAGTCAAAGGACTGAACATTTACTGCATTAATATTTAATATTTTCGATGGCTTCTGTTTAATTGAATTTTAATTTAATATAAACTGTCTTTGTGTATGGATTTCTTTAATAAAATATTTTTATTTATTCGATTTTTATTGATCTATTTTTTTGTTTTAGTGAAATGTGAAGGAACAAGTGTGTGGCATACATATGAACTCCCTCAATGCTGTTAAAAAAAATGCAAACATCCATTTTAGTTATCATAGTTTTGAAAAATGTTTTAAAAATAGTAATAATGAAGAACAAGTAGATTTGTTTGAACCTTTGGCTAGGTGGTATTATATTAAATCTGTTTTGTAAATAGAATCTGATCACATACTTTAGGTAAACTAACAGAAAATGTAACTTTATTATCATTCACAGAAACAATGAGTTCTTTTTCTTCTCTTATATAATCCACTCATTTGTTCCCGCATGCGAGATATTAAGTCACTGTCCAAGGTTGTTCTCTTAAATACTGTTTAAAACATTAACTGTAATCCCGAGCTTCCTCGTATCAAAGTCAAAGTCTTACTGGAAGAGAGCGCGAGGGGAGGAACATTCCCGCTCGCTAAAGTGAATATCTCTGAATCAACTTTAACCCTTCCAGACGAGGCGCTCCGGGTATCTGAATCATAGGCGCCGGCAACTCTGATTCATCTACATTTTGAACTATTTCAGACCTTTTCAGGTAAAACACTTGCGAGAAATGAAAAACTCAAAGACATGGGAGTTCACTTTTTACAAAAATAGTGCTCTTTAATAAATTACTGAAATGTTTCCTTGCTTTTATAAATATAAATATGTAACATCAAAACATGGTTGAGATGTCTTTACAAAAGATAACCGATCTAAATTCATCTTCATGTGTGTAAACAGCATCATGTGGGACACGGTGAAACATAGGTGAGACACAAAACACTCATGTATGTTAATACATTCAATAACAGGCAGTCTGCTTTGAACTGCTCCTGACACGAACCACTAAAAAAACACAGACATTTTGTTCCAAAGTGTCGCTTTTTCAAGTACAAGCAGAATATCGACATGTGTCCTTCTCAATCTGTGTTCAGTCCCGGCGTGCTTTATCTGAACCGCTTTGACTCCAGAAGGCATTTCTCAGTGGCATGTCCGCTATGCCTCAGTGCTGTGCTGTTACTCGCGTCTTCCTTTTTGCTTGAAAGGCACAAATATTTACTTGGAAGAAATATTTGGCTCACTGTCTCCCTGCTTGGCGGAGCTCACAGATTCGGGGCAGTGTAGAGGCAGTGATTGGTGCCCACAGAGTGGGTTACGATACTGGCACTGATACAGAAAACAGTACAAACGTGCAACCGCTTTGACTCCAGAAGGCATTTCTCAGTGGCATGTCCGCTATGCCTCAGTGCTGTGCTGTTACTCGCGTCTTCCTTTTTGCTTGAAAGGCACAAATATTGACTTGGAAGAAATATTTAGCTCACTGTCTCCCTGCTTGGCGGAGCTCACAGATTCGGGGCAGTGCAGAGGCAGTGATTGGTGCCCACAGAGTGGGTTACGATACTGGCACTGGTACAGAAAACAGTACAAACGTGCATTAATCGAGACTGTTACGGCAAGAACGGTGCTTCAAGATCAGTCACATAAGAATGCATCAGTGATAGTACTCATGACCGCTCACGGTTGACTGGCAAACTCCATGTATGTACTCATGAACAGCTCAATACTTCTTGGTCCAACGAGCTTTACCCTCGAGTTAGACCTAGCTTTAGCTCCCTCACCACTTCTCGTTTCTTCGCTAGCCGGAGCTCTTTAAATGGGAGCGTCATACTCTTGTAAGAAGTCTTTCAGCTGTTGAGGCAGCTGCTCTCTTTTGCTGGAAACGTCTATATGTCCATTGACCGTCTTCCTGCAGAGATGCTGCAGGGAGGACATTATGCAAGGAAGGGGTCTCAACAGCTCCAGAGGGATCTTCTCGCCCCCCGTGTAGATGTAGTATGAGTTCCTCGAGTTCCCGATGGACAGAGAGCTTCTGGACGAGGGCATGTAGTGATGGACGAGCTTCAGCACGCAGTCGAAGCGAGGCACGGACTGCATGCTCTTGGAGTCCGTCTGAAGGGAAAAGGACTTGTTGTCGCACTGCACCCGCAGGTTCTTGGTGCCCGACTCGGTCTTGACGCTGAGCGTGAAGAAGTGCCGGTTGTCCGAGCTGTCTCGGACCAGAAAGGTCCCACTGGGCTCTGAGTTCAACAGGTGATTGGCCTCTTTGCCGCTGATGGAGCCCCAGTACCCCCCCCCCCCCCCGCTGTGCTCTTCCAGATCTGCCACCTTACTGTAAACGTATTCCCTAACACAACACCTCCCTATTGTTGATGAACAGATATTGTCGCCTTGCAACCGTGCTATATTACGAATATCAAGCGCTTCTTTAGGAACAAATTCGCGTCAAAATGACACGCGTCTTAAACGACGTTCTACACCGTCCTCAGTTTAGCTGATGTAGTTTATACCAAACGTGTGATATTTTGACATGTTTGTGCCCAGAAACATGACTATACTGAATGAAATTCGACTAGTAAGCTATGACACGATTGCTCTGACTTTCCTGTTAGTCATGGTAATACACGTCTATCCACAAGAAGGCGCTAATGTTATCGGCTTAACTCTTGTAACAGTAAAATGAACAATAGTGAAGTAGTACAAATTACACGTTTTATTTTAGCTCATAAACTTGAATTAAAAAATGAAAAGTGTCTACAACATGCATTTTAAACACACAAGTATGTACTCTGGGTACTTGCATATACATAAAATATGGCATAAAAAGTCAAAAACAATAATAAGCAAGAATCAGAAGACCTGTACAGATGTGCACATTATTTACTGTAAATGGACTGTACAGTGTTTACACATAATACATATCTAAAAGGGTATAAAATACATTTTTAAACATATAATAACAGATATAACCCTAATGGGTACATACTTTAATGCACAAGAAGAAAAAAAAAGGAAATTCAGTTGCCCTGCTTTTAAACATATAATAACAGATATAACCCTAATGGGTACATACTTTAATTCACAAGAAGAAAAAAAAAAGGAAATTCAGTTGCCCTGTTTCTGAAGAAATCCAGTGTACTTTTCATGACAATTAGCCTATTTGAACACTTCCCAACGCTAATGTTATCGTCTTAACTCTTGTAACAGTAAAATGAACAATAGTGAAGTAGTACAAATTACACGTTTTATTTTAGCTCATAAACTTGAATTAAAAAATGAAAAGTGTCTACAACATGCATTTTAAACACACAAGTATGTACTCTGGGTACTTGCATATACATAAAATATGGCATAAAAAGTCAAAAACAATAATAAGCAAGAATCAGAAGACCTGTACAGATGTGCACATTATTTACTGTAAATGGACTGTACAGTGTTTACACATAATACATATCTAAAAGGGTATAAAATACATTTTTAAACATATAATAACAGATATAACCCTAATGGGTACATACTTTAATGCACAAGAAGAAAAAAAAAGGAAATTCAGTTGCCCTGCTTCTGAAGAAATCCAGTGTACTTTTCATGACAATTAGCCTATTTGAACACTTCCCAAAAATGCCTATAATTATAAGCTTTTCATATAAGTACTCATTGCTAAATAAATTATCAATTAAGTTGTCTTGACTAATCCTTTTTCAAAAGCCAATAGTATGAGAAAACAATATGGAATGGCATGTGAGCAGTGAAGCTCGTTTACTGAAAATGCCGACTCTATTTGTCATTTAAGCTGAAATTGCCATGAAAATAAGGGTAGTCTGACTGGCCGAGAAAAAGGAACAGAAAGACGCATTGTGGGGCTTATTAGAAACTGGACAAAATATAGCTGTGTTACTGAATGCTGCTCAGTTTTCCATTAACACTCGGGGAAAACGGGCCTGGACTTTCCGCACCTTTCCTCAAGCAGAGAGTTTTGCATAAAAAGGAAAGAAAGATTATGTCACAGTTCTTATTTACATCAGTAGTATTATCTTCATAAGAAGTTTTCCTGGCTTCAGTTTTCCTGCTAACCCGCATATACAATACAAATGATCGGTTTTACTTGGCTGCGTCCTCTGTTGACACAGGAGAATGGCAGCTCATCACAGAACAAGAGACTAACTCGGGAATAATATGTTAATGATAAGTCAGTGCACTTAACAGATAGCATTTGCTCAGAGTAAACATGTAATGTTGATAATTGTTATAAGATCCAGGAAGAGTTTTTATTATATTTAAACAAGACTAGTTGGACTGAACCTGCTGCGCTTTATCAAGTTCATCTTGTAAAAGCACTCAGACAGTTGCAGAGTAAAGGAGATAAATAGGTCAGGAACAATAAGAGTTGAATAAAAGGCTGGAATGAAACATGTTTTGCTGGATATTGTTCACATTTCTGTGAAATGGTTTCGTCATTACTACGAATTTCGCATTAAGGAAGAAATTTCTGACTCGTCACACAGCACTCTGGAAATCTGAAGTATGTTCTGTTCTGCTTCCAGATTTCCCCCTCTGCAATTTCACAAGTATAGGGAGGTGATATTGCTGTGCAATTTGTAAACTGTCCATAAACTATCCGTAGACTGTTTATTCAAAAGCAGCAGTTTTATCAGAAATGTAGAAGCATATGCTGCACTCCTAGACAATTATTCATACAAAGCTTCAGCAGTAGCTTTACTGTAAAACAATCATGCTGCAGTCAAGTCTCATTGGTTTACTTCCTTCTGGAATATTGCAGGTGTTCACTCCTCTTCCCATCTTTGTGTACTCTGTAATCACATTTTGGGAAGCGTTTCCATATTCTAAGATTTGTATTTGCTGTTTTGATTTAATATGTTTTGAAGTTGAAAGTTTCACATGACAATTTGATTACCACAATATATTTTTCCAAATGATAAAAGAAAACAGACTAATGCCATTTTCATCTCAACATGTTATGAATTATTATCCAAAATATAGAAACATATGATTGGCATATGCATAACAGCATGCAGTGATGTATGCATAATATCCAAAGTGACTTTATAGTACAATTCCTCACGATGGTCACTGTGTTTGCTGGAATCAAATGAAAATTTAAGACAATTCTAACCATAATCATTCAAGCAGAAGCATTCAGTTAAATTAAACCTTTTTAATGTGGAAAATAAATGCAGTCCGTTGTGACCACACTTTCACTGTGTGCAGAAAAAAACCCCTGCAATATCTGCCAATGTGGATTCCTGTTAGGATTTCTATCTATAAAAATTAGGCTAATCCTCATCGTGTAATTATATTATTCCATAACTTTATGGCATACTGTAATATGGATCAAATAAAGTCACTTATTTCCTTGTTTTAGAAGTGTAGCCTGCTTCCTGCAGGCAAATGTGAATTCCCAGCAAAGTTTGCTTCCTTAAAGGGATAGTTCACACAAAAATTAAAATTCTGTCATTAATTACTCACCCTCGGGTTATTCCAAACCCGTAAGTCCTTCGTTCATCTTCGGAACACATCTGAGGGCTCTCTGACCCTCCCATAGACAGCAAGGTAACTACCACGTTCAAGGTCCAGAAAAGTACCAACAAAAAGCTGAACCACTGATATCACACGGACTACTTTGTCGATCATCTTGGTACTTTTCTGGACCTTGAACGTGGTAGTTACCTTGCTGTCTATGGGAGGGCCAGAGAGCCCTCAGATGTGTTCCGAAGATGAACGAAGGTCTTATGGGTTTGGAACAACACGAGGGTGAGTAATTAATGACAGAATTTTCATTTTTGGGTGAACTAACCCTTTAAGTATTGTGCACATTAGTAACATTGTTCAATTTCATAAGTTATTCAGCCTTATAATCAAAATTAGTAGAATGTTATGCAAGGGAACTTGATAAGTGTTTTCACTTCTGTGTTAAGAAGTGACGATAAGATCGCAGTGACATTTCCTGTAGGCCTATACCATCTGTGTTTCATCATGATTCATATCGGGGGGGGGACCTTTTCTATGGTATGTGAGGATGTGAGCTTCTTTTTAAAAGAAAAGAGCCTGATTCGTTTAAGCCATGTGATTTCTGATGACGCGATGCTTTCAGACATGCAGTATTGTGGATGCAAAAGAACAAAAGCTCACTGCAGACCGGCAGACACCTGGGCTGGAAAAGAAAACACACCTACACATAAGCTCCTGTAATTGTGTGTTGAATCCACACTATTTGTTAACCAACGGACAGTATTATTGGGACATGATAATGCTTGTCTTTTCTGTAAGGAAGTATGGCATGTAGAGAACTCTTATCAGTTTCCTCGTTTCCTTTTGGAAAAAAGAGGAAGAGGATTTCCTTTGGAACAGAACGTTTTAAATTTAAGACATTTGTTTAGCAAAGTATTTCAAAGTGTAGTATAGAAAAAAAAACGAAAAATAGAATCAATAAAACATTAATAAATTATGCTTAATAGTATGTCAACAGTGGCATTTCTATGAAGTTGAAATAACCCTTTCTGTCAACCCAGACTCACTGGAAATACATTATGTGGCTAGAACAGAATTAAAATGAAACAGTCAAGATGAAATTAATAAGCTTTAATTCAAGGGGTTGAACAAAAATATAATATAAAATGCTTAGGAATTACAAAAATTTTTATACACAGTCCCCCGAATGTCAGGGGCTCAAATGTAATTGGACAAATAAATATAATCATAAATAAAATGTTAATTTTAATATTTTGTTGAGAATCCTTTGCAGGCAATGACTGCCTTAAGTCTGGAACTCATGGACATCACCAGAGACTGGGTTTCCTCCTTTGAGATGCTTTGCCGGGCCTTTGCTGCAGCTGACTTCTGTTGTTGTTTGTTTGTGGGTCTTTCTGCCTTTAGTTTTGTCTTCAGCAAGTGAAAGGCGTGCTCAATCAGATTGAGATCAGGAGATTGACTTGGCCATTGCAGAATATTCCACTTTTTTACCTTCAAAAACTCCTGGGTTGCTTTTGCTGTATGCCATGCATGCTCATGCCATCACACTGCTCCACCATGTTTCACATATGATGTTGTATGCTTTGGATCATGAGCTGTTCCAAGTCTTCTCCATACTTTTTTCTTCCCGTCATTCTGGTACAGGTTGATCTTAATTTCAGCCATCCAAAGAATGCGTTTCCAGAAGTGGTCCGGCTTTTTTAGAATTTTTTATTATTTTTTGGCAAAGTCTAATCTGGCCTTGTTTGCAACTTGTGGTAAACCCTCTGTATTTGTTCTCATGAAGTCTTCTCTTGATTTTAGACTTTGACAGTGACACATCTGCCTCCTGGAGAGTGTTCTTCTCTTGGCTGGATGTTGTGAAAGGGTTTTTATTTACCATGGAGAGGATTCTTCGATCATCCATCACTGTTGTCCTCCGTGGACGTCCAGGCCTTTTTTATGTTGCTGAGCTCACCAGCGCGTTCTTCTTTTCTCAGAATGTACCAAACTGTTGATTTGGCCACTCCTAATGTTCCTGCTATCTCTCTGATGGATTTGTTTTGTTTTTGAAGCCTAAC